CCCAAACCACCGACCAAATCTAAACGCCTCTTTTCGACTAAGCCAACCGTAGGTTACGCAAGGTTTTGGATTGTGGAACGACTGACTCGCCGTAACGCCCGATTTCACTACCTTTTTAAATGCAAATTATAAATCATACTATCGCATACCAAGTTGATATAAAATAGTATAAACATCAACAATGTTAAAGCGCCTGTTCTCATACTTCGGAATAGAATAACTAGGGTTTAAATAATAAAAATGTCAAAAAATTCGCTTTGATATAATAATTTAACTAATCTTAAATTCAGTTTCAAAGATAGCAATTACGATCATATATGAAAGCACATAAAAATATAGCCTGTACCGAATTAAAAAATCAATGAAACCTGTAGTTCTAGCATAAAAAAAAAAAGAAATAGTAGAGTTAGTACGTAAATAAATGGAGCCTTCAATGAGCTTTAATTAAGTATAAAAGCTTATAACGCTTTTAATAAACTCGCGAACACGTAATAAGATCGTCAGATTGGTATATTACTAGAGATCATTAGATAGATTCTGATCAATAATCAGAGAGATTTCCGATAACCAATCAGAACTGTGAGGGGAAATTAGTACACTATTCGGGGTGTTACACAAAGTCACAAGGATCAATCATCCAGAATTGTACACTTCATTAACTTGCATGTAAACAATACTCTAGTTGTACGTTGTACAAACTCTGTTCCTGGTATAATCAGGCCTCCTAAATCATTTTAATGCGATTAGAAGTGTGCGCGCAATGCCATAGTTGGTCGCAATTATAATGAATTACGACAAATAGTGTATTTAGTATAGCATTTAGAGAGGTCTCAAAAAAATGTTTTTAAGATCACAGTAATGTAAATAAATCATGAAAGGGAACAAAGAACGCTAATATTGTATGTATAACGTGCACGACTAACAATGGCAGAAAATTTTTTTCTGTATTGGTATCCCTGCACACAGTTTTAAAACAAATGTTTAATTTATGTCTGTTCCCAATATTCATGTTAGCATTTATTTATTCATTATCACTTTCTATAATTTCATTCAACTGAAAATGGTTAAACAATTTAATTTCAAATACGCGTTATTTGCCTTAGTGACTTTGTCATCATTTATATTTTGTTCTCTCTTAATACGTCAGAGGTTCAGTTTTTCAGAAATATATAGTTTACAAGAAAACAATGCAAATACTGAACAAAAAAGAAAGGCAAACGCGTGTATCGTAGTGTTAACTCGAAATGATGATTTATATGATATTAGACACTCAATGAGACAACTTGAGGATAGGTTTAATCATAAATATAACTATCCATATGTTTTTTTAAATAATGAACCTTTTACGCAAGGATTTATAAATGTAACAAGCGCAATGACTAAGGCAAATGTAAGCTATGGTAAGTAGGTTAATGAAAATATGTGTTATCGACTAATTGAGCACTTAGAAAGTAAGTTGTTAATTAGTAAAAAGCAACAAATTAAAAATTTTTTAAATATTAAAAAAAAATTTCACCATAAAAACTTGATAATTTTTTTTTAAAAAAAGATTTGTGCGTTTCTACATACTCCGATATGTTGAGATAGTCAGTTATGCATGCATCATATGCTTCATATAATCTTAAGATGCATTTATTCATCTCTAAAAACATTGAATACATATTTTATTATTCATCATAGGGTTGATCCCGAAAGAACACTGGAGTGTTCCAAGCGATATCGATAAGGAACGTCTTAGTATATCTTTGGAAAGTCCGCTACCACGTTCATCTGAGCTTACTTATCATCATATGTGCAGGTAAACATTAATTTTATTGCAACTAATTTCGAATGTTGAAAAAACAATTTCATTCGAAATGTTAATTTAATTATTATCTTCCGATTTATATTTTATTTAGATTTTATTCGGGATTTTTCTATCATCATGAGCTGATAAAAAGTTATGACTATTATTGGCGTCTTGAACCTGGTGTTGATTTTTATTGCGATATTGACTTTGACCCATTTGTTTATATGAAAGAGAATGATATTAAATATGGTATTTATATCCAGCAATATCATTCTTAATAGAATTATTCATTTAGATAAAATGCAAGTATAATTTACAAATTTTGCCGTAGGTTTCACTCTTGTACAATATGAAGAGTTCGATACTATTCCAACACTTTGGAATACGGTCAAAGAATTTATTAAAATATATCCGCATTTAATTACAAATGATAGTATATTTGATTTTATAACAAATGATAATGGTGAAACATATAATCTGTACGTAAGCTCATTAGTTACAGATTAAAGCTTTATTTACAATTAAAGCCCGTTACTTAATCCAACAATTTATTATTAATTAAGGTGTCAATTTTGGTCCAACTTTGAAATTGGTGATCTTAATTTGTGGAGAAGTGATGAATATTCAATATTCTTTAATTTTCTTGATGAAAAAGGTGGATTCTATTATGAACGGTTAGTGCGCTAATTTTATTTATGCACAAAACTATATACGCTAGTATTAAATCGTTTAAATTTTATGTATTTGTAAATATGTAGGTGGGGAGATGCACCTATTCATACAATCGCCACTGCCCTTTTCTTAAAGAAACATCAAGTCCGTTATTTTGAAGAAATTGGGTATTATCATCATGAAGTCATAAATTGTCCTCAAGGGAATGAGTTTCTATCTAAATGTGATTGTAGACCTGGTAAATTCCTGATTAGCCATTAACTATTTAGTAGTTATTTGATTCATACTGATTTAATTATTAATCAATTTTCCTGATTTGATATTTGATATTGCAGAACAAAGTGATAAATCAGGTTGTATTGAAAGGTGAATATTTTATTGATTATTAATATTTAAGTCTATTGAATCTTTTTTAACATTTGACGTGTACTACAATCTAGCTTTTTAAAAAAATACCATAAATTTGCACCAAAAATACAGATGGCTGAAATTTAAGAACTTTATCCGTTAAACCGTCGAGCGGGAAAATTTTGCCTGCTAAAATGATTTTACCTGTCTTTTTTTATGTACTAAGTAAAATTCTTTCTCTCTGTTTACGACAAAAAACGGTTAATTAGACGCATAAAACTATTTATTAATACTTATATTAATAATTATTAATAATTATTAATAATTCATTTCATACTGTTACAACTTTTAAATTACATATTTACAATTACATTCACACTATATTATATAATCCAATACAATTAAAACATTTGATATATTTAATATTTAAATTATTAATTCTTTCGGTGTACTGTTCTTGTAAAGTGCATCAGCTAATGCTTTTCTTCCTTCTGATCCAAGATCATTTCACACTTAAATTTAAGTACTTTAAGGTAATGTTCTTGCAAAGTACACTTGCTAAGGCTTTTTCGACGTCTGATCCAAGAATATTCTCGCCTAAATCTAAAGATGCTAAGGTAGTGTTCTTGCAAAGTACCTTTATTAATTCGTATATTTTGTCTGATCCAAATTTATTAAAAGAAACATCCCAAGATGAAGCATTTTTCTGTTCTTGAGAATTTCTTCATAAAGTTCTAATGCTTTGAGAAATTGGCTTGATTCAAACATTGATGGGATTCTTTTTTCATATCCTCAATATTTACCTTCTTTCATCGAAATGTTAGAATTTGTTATTTAGACATCAGTTTTCGAGTTTTATGGAAATTTGCAACTTTAAATGTGGTCAAATGATATAGCAGGCTTTTTACTAGTATTAAATCATAGGAAAAGAAAAAGCATAAGGAGCAAAGCAATACAAAAGCCGAGTTCATTGTGATTGGTCAATTTTTGTGGATCATCCCGTGATATTGAAATTAATCAAGTTCTAAAAACTTAATACTTCTGCACTTACTTTTTTAATACATAAGTAGCTGCGCGACATTGTCACGCAAAACCAGGAACGGAAGGTGGATTTTCAGATCAAGTTGCAGATGAAACTGCTTTCATCATGAGTTTTTTGT